GCTTTAAAAATAGATCTATACTATAATAGACACTAACATCACATTCCACAAGGAAGTAACGCGTTTCAACTTGTATTTTTATGTAAATATTCACTAAAACAGAAAATTAATTTCGTTGCAACAAGATACGAAAATGTAGCAAAATAACGGGTTTTTTCTCCCCATTTTGCTATTCTGTTTCAAAATAATTATATTACGTAATTTTTTGAGAATAGGCAATATCGCGACGGTTGCAAAATTTCTACAAATTTACACCGCCGCAACAACATTGTAGGGAATTTACGTTAGCTATTTTTACGAAATATATTTAGTATTTGCCTTCATTAGTTTCATGTGAAAAATTATTATTCTTGTTCATCATACACTCATTTAAAAAAATTGTCTTGCCCAGACTCAAAAGCTCTTAACTAAAATTATTTCAGGAAACTAACACTGACTAAAAAGTCATCGTCAGTTCTCCAAAATCGTGTATAAATAACTTACAGGTTCAGGTTCTTAATTGTTATCGTGTACTTTTCATATAAACATACCCACAGATAATATCAGACTATTTATATATTCAAATTCGATAGTCGCACTTAAACTCGCTTGTAGGTTTTTGTTCATATATGAGTTAAATAAGAATTGGGTAGTATTTAATAAGGTGCCTACAGATTTGCTCGACATTGTCGATCGACAGTAACGATTGAGAATTATAGACGTTTTCGAGGAGTTTTAGAGTGCTTATTACGAATGTAGCATTAATTTCTAAATCCAAGATGGTTGACAACAATTTTCAAAAATGTATTTTTGGTAAACTATAAGGAAATGGCATGTATATCTGAATACAAGATGGGGGACAAGACTTCTAATTCTTCTTCTTCTAATTCTTTGCCATCTTGGATTTAGAAATATGTGCTATATTCGGAATGAGCAGCCCCTAATACCTTGAAAACGACACCCAACTTGCCATCATTCGAAAAATCGTGCCCGCCATCTTGGATTTAGAAATTAGTGCAATGTTCTTAATGAGTACCCCTAAATACCTCGAAAACGACACCCAACTTGCTGTTATTTGAAAAGTCATGTCCGCCATCTTGGATTTAGAAATAAGTGCTATATTCTTAATGAGTACCCCCAAATACCTCGAAAACGATCCCCAACTTGCCATTATATGAAAAATCGTGCCCACCATCTTGGATTTAGAAATGAGTGCCATATTCGTAATGAGCACCCCCAAATACCTCGAAAATGATACCCATATTGCATTTATTTCAAAAGTCGTGTCCGCCATCTTGTTTTTAGAAATAAATGCCATATTCGTGATGAGCACCTCGAATACCTCGAAAACGATTCCCATATTGCATTTATTCGAAAAGACGTGTCCGCCATCTTGGATTTAGAAATGAGAAAAGTCGTGTACGCCTTCGTGTATTCAAATATAAATGCCATTTCCATAAGGATTACTAAAAATAAATTTTTGAAAATTCCTGTCACTTGACGTTGTCGATCAACAGTAACGATCGACAAAATCGAGCATATCTATAGGCACCTGATCGACAGTAACGATCGACAAAATCGAGCAAATCTGTAGGCACCTCTAACTTAACGATGAGTTAAGCAAGATACAATTTCCCCACTTTTGAGGGAAATGTTATTCCATGGCATCATTATTTGTATATTTGTGTGCGTGCCGACGAGCGTAAATACAAGTTGCTTACGCCTACATGAATTTGATTTTTGCCTCACTTGTGACAGTTCGTTTTTTATGAAACTATCATTCTATGCGTTATTATTCTAAGACTACGAACATCAAAATAGTTTGTCGTAATTAAGTATGACACTCGACAATTTGTTATTCCTCAGTCCAAAGTATCAACCTTGATACTAGATGCTAATGACCAACGCAACGCAAACAGTACGTAATTCAGGGATGCAAGACGTATCAAAATTTTAACTCGGTACGGGCAGTCAATATAATATTATGTCGTTGTCAGCAAAAATTCGGGTATTTTAGACAGCTACATTGACCTTTATCAATGGACAGCTATGTTTATTTTACAAATTTTTGTCCTCAGTATCAAAGTCAAAATAAATTAATCATTTAGTCCACCCCCTTAACCAAAATAGGAAAAATGTTACGTTCACCAAAAGACCACATTCCTTTACAAACACCGGGTGTCTATAAAGTGAACTGCAGTAGTGGGAGCTCGTATATCGGTCAGACTAAACGAACAATTGTCGATCGTATGAAGGAACACATCCGAGCAGTAAAAAACAATGATGCACAGAAGTCGGCTATAGCACAACATCTCACACAGACTGACACTAACCTCTGGATCGAGTTGCATAGCCCCCAGGTACTCTCGACAGAACGTCACTACATACCACGGTTGGTACGAGAAGCCATCGAGATCACGAAATACAAAACATTTAACCGTGATGATGGTTTTAAACTGTCCAGTGCATCCGAATGAATCCGGTCCTTAGTGCGTGCAATGATAAAAACAAAAACACCTCGAGTTCAGTTTCGCATGTGGATACAGTGAGTGTGGTTTGTGTGAAAAAAGTGAGTGACAATGGTAACGCCACAACAAATCGCGATGAAGATAGTCGTCGACAGCGCAAGAGGGTAGACAGATATGTCTGCTCTTAAAGCTGTCATCTGCCGCCGTCCAGTCAACCCGTGACCATGGAGCGTCCAACCGTTCCGAAATATCGGGAAAATAAAAAGAAGTCATAACCGTGGTAAGAAACCTGATACTAGTGATAATCATTTAGTCAATAACCACGAAAGTCTTAAAATCTATATCCTTATCTAACATGCCGCTTCGTCTTAAATTTTGTAATATGACTTTTCAATGAAAATACTCTTAATATATATACTCCGAAATCTTATTGTAAAAACGCATACAGTTCCCCATAAAAGAATTGTTTACCTTAGTTAAACGAATCGTGGTACGGACAACAGCACATCAGACTACACATTTTTGTTCGAAAATCGCCTCCAGTGCAACGGAACAGATACGTTAATGTATAGCTTGATGTGCTGTTGACGTACCATGAATTTGGACTTTGTATTAAGATTAATATTATGGATATTTTATCTTCTTTCTTAATTAAATTATGTATATGTTTACGGGCATACAAAATATTTGACTAAATGTACTGTGATGCGACAGTCATGATGCCAGTTTCCTTAAACTTTTCCCTGAGAGAAATCCGAGAACCTAAGCGATACGCACAACGAATCGCTCATTTTTGCAACACAATATGGTTTGTATATCTGTCGCTTTACCGTGGGGTAAAACGTACCCTGTTCTACGGGATTCTCATGTGGATGAGAATCCCGGAGAACAGGGGTCGCAACCTGCAGCTCGCAAGGCGCATGCGTCTCTTTTGATGTGAAGTTACGGCTCTTTAGTTCTATACGCAAATATTAAAATCAAAGTATAATAAGAAGCTAACTAACAAATGAAAATGTAAAGTCGTGTTTGAAACTTAAAACAACTAAGTAGTTATGAGTCAAATTTATCCAAAAGTTTCAAAAGACATGCAAAGCAATGCTTCCATTGATTTACTACTCAATTCTGTAGTTATATTATTTAATTATTTAAATTTTCTAATTATATATTTTAATTTGTTGTAAAAAAAAAGTATGTATGAATAAATAGATATTATTTCTTATTTTCAAGTTTTTTGTTTTAAATCAAAATCAAATATCTTTTTATATATAAGCAAGTAACGCACAATAACGCCCACACTCAACATCAAGTACTATAATAATGCAATTGGCAAGAAAAATTGTAATAGCTCTTTCAAAACTGTGAAATTTTGTAAATTGTAATTTTTGGGTCTTTCAACTCAAAAGGTTGCCAACCACTGCCGTAGAACATTATACTATGATAGTAACTAAAGTAAACACTAGCAATCGCAACATCGGTAAACGCACGTACTCTACGGACTGCGTGTGCAGCAGAGCTTGATCTGCTGGCCAAGGAAGATATAATATGTGGAAACCATTAAAGATTTATCTAAGGTTACTCCCAAAAAGGCAACTTTTCTCCATTTATTTCTGTGATTGGGCAAGACGATTTTATTATAACATACCTAGACAATACTATTACTATGCTATTACTATTAATGTTTTTTTATCAGTTTTACTTTCAATTTTCATTATTCCTAAAATTTAAATTAACGGACTGTATGCGAACGCCACAAATTGTTGCGAGAATCAAATGCCATTACCTTGAATCCGAAGTCATGAAATAAATTTTAAAAAGTTCGATGTTTGACGTTTATTGACAGATAATAGTGGTCTTAGTCTGTGGTTGGTTGCTTTTGCCGGGGTGCGTTTAAGACCGCAGGCTAAAAATTCGCCAGCTAAAAATTAATCTGCCGAGGCATCCGTGAACGGAGTCTTAGGTTTATGTCAATGTAAGCTGCCAAATTCAAATGACAGCTGTCATAAGTACCTAATTCAAACTTCATTTGAACTCACAACGGGCTTTAAATATTGTTTTTATCGTAATCTCTAACTCTAATCTTTTTACGCAGTAAAAATGGACCAAAAAGAATGAAGATGTAATTATACTGAGGTAAATTGAAATTTAGAAAATTGCTTTTGTGTGTTTGAATTTACTTACCATTACTGTGGAGGCAAACTCTACCTTCATTGTCGAAAATCTTTCTGCCCCTTTCGTCTACAACAATTTGCATTACGATTTCATCCATAATCCAAACGTCGTTAAAAGTATTCGTTTATTTAAACACAGAGCCAAAATATTCAATAAGCGTGCGCGAAACTAGCATAAACAACAAACAGCTGTCAATACTGTCAATCTGACAGCAGGTTAAAATTTCGCGACCTAAAAAGCACGCCAAAATTTATCCCAACTAGGCTAAATTTTATCCTAGCCGACGTCCGTGAACGGGGTAGATAAAATTTTCACAGATTAAATTTTCGCCTGACAGAGTGCTTAAACGGGGTGTATAACGTTATGTCAGGTTAAAATTTATCCCGGCTAGCGTCCTTAAACGCACCCCCGTTGTTGGCCATTGTTTATTATTTATAGCTCCACAGATATGATATATATCTGCTGTCGTTGGCTCTATTTTGGGTTGTTAAATTATTATAATTCTTAGTTTTCATTCTTTCTTCGCTAAGGTTAATTTGTAATTAAGCTTAAAAATAATTTTAGAAAAGTATAAGTGCTACCATTTAAATCGACTTAGTGAATTTAAAAGGGTGTTATCGTAACAACAATGAAAAATGGTGAATGTTATGAAAGGAGTCCTCGTAGAATGGTGTGTAGAAAATTATGTAAATCCAGTACATTCTGATAATCTTTTAAAACACTAATAATTAACAAATATCTTAAACCTTTTTATTTATGTTTGTTACGGAGAAAGAAATATACGTATAATTTCGTAAAGTTAATGAGGTTATGAGTAAATCTAATCAAATTATGTTTTATTTGTGACATAAAAGACGTAATGGTATTTAAAAACTCGTCTATAATTCGATGTTAGCTATCATCTGGTAGCAGTAAAGCTCGAAGAATTCATAGGGAATACTGCCACTAAGCAGTAATTTGAGAATTGCTTGAAGGGTAAGGGTGTTGGTGAAATTACAGGCACATGGGCTCTTGTCAAGTTATGTCTCAGATGTTTGCGATTTAAAGCTTTGAGTGCCACTGCAACTGCTGTGAACAGGTGTCTTGCTTAACACTAGGTGCACAACTTGTTCGTCCTTTCGTCACTTGGTGTCATAAAATATATTTCATCTAAATGAGCCACTCCATGTGTAACTACAGAGTGAGCAGTAGCAAAACACTCCATTTCATGCGACTGTGGTCAATATGGGTATACTATGAGAGCAATGTTTCATCTGCCGGTTACAAATTGAGGACCATCAGGAACAAAAACTGATATATATATATAATATAGCACAAAGGTAGGTTTTGCCCAAATTCTGCTAATAATTTAACCAACCTGAACAGCAACCATTTAGTCCGCTTTAAAAAAACTTTTCAAATGCATGGATCTGAACACAATGCAATAAATCCATTGTATGAAATTAAATTAGAATCAAAGTTTATCTAACTTATTGATTTTTGTTGTGAAGCTCCTCAATTACTATGATGGGTAATATTACAAATGTTACATCTATGAACATTATATGGAAAATAAGAGTCTTCTTGCTGTCTGTGACCATCACAGGATGCAGTTTATGTAGCAGGATATGTAGGGCTTCATCACTTTTATTTTGTGATTTCTGGTAGTGGATATTGCTAGTACCTTTATCCTAAAAAACCAAAACTGCCAACATTATAGTTTCTAATAATCAGGCAGTGCAATTAATAGCCATAAAAATGGTAACAATTTATACAAAAAAAATATATTAAATAATAGCAACAAACTATTGATATGTTTAAGGCACTATTCATGCTGTTTTCAGGTTACAGAGAATCTCAAACTATGTGTGTTTATGGAATAATAAGGTCTAATAGGTCCATCATTCATAATAGTCCAAGTCTTGGGGTATATTAAAACTTTGCTCAATTACATCATTCTCCATTTGGAATGTGTTTTTGATGTAGGATTTTAGAATATAAATATTTTCTGTCCAACGATCAATGGCCGCTTTCAGATCCTAGAAAACAACAAAAAAAAGTAAAGTTATATTCATAATCCACATGAAATTTCTAGAAGCAAGCACCTATTTATCCAATTCCTGGAGGCAGATCAGTTCTGAAGAGAGCGTTGCCATAATCCAACACAATGACCAGATCAATATTACATTTTTTTTTTTTTTTTTTTAATATGTACAAGGCACAGTGTTTCCTAACTTGGTATACAGAGGCGAGCTCAGGGTCAACAAGTATTAGTGGGAATTTCTGTAAATATCTCTGGCACTGTGATGAAGTGGCGTTCTGGCGTGGCCCGCTACAGGGCGAAATACCTCGGAATGTAGAGGATGTGCCCCAAAATCTTGAGCAAACTCAATAGGACGCTAAAATTCTTGTAGGAGCTTCAAGTGGTGCCCTTCACCCACCTCACGCAAAGTATATATACTTTGACTTCAAGGTGTAGAAACCAGCTGATTATACGAAATAACTGTGATTACTCTATGTTTAAAATGAGAGTCAAAAAGTTTTTCCATCTATCTGTCAGGGGTGTGTAACTGACTGAGAATAGTCAATCCTTCCTTAGGAAATGTGGGTGAAGCTACTAATATTGTGGGCTGTAATAAAGGTTATTTTGTGTAGTCAAATAAACACATGAATTATTTATTCAGTGCTACTAAATGTCTACATAAAACTTACAATCATCTCAGTTTTCAGCTGATTTATGTACTCAGGATCAGAGTCTCTGTATTTTTGCATTTCCTTCTTGAGAGCCTCTTCTTTTTTTTTCAATTCCTCTACAGTTTTTATGAGAAGGGAACGCTCTTCAGTCGGTTCTCGGTCTTCCTTTAAAATTAAAAATCTTTACACCCTAACTTAATATTGATTCCTTTTTAGTACTATTGTGTACCAATTAACATTAGATTAGTACATATTTTGAACATTTAAAAAAAAAGAAAAATGTAAACAATAATATGAGAAATTTATATCTATATTTAAATCAACCATTAGTATAATTGGGTTTAATACACAACATTTAATAAAAATACATTGCTTTCAGTTAAGTCATCTTGTTTCCTACAAGAAATAATATGTATACTAACTCAAGGTTTACATACCAATTCAACAACTATGTTATCTTCTGTCTTTTTCAATTTCTTAGCACACTCGCCTAACTCATGTTTCAAATCATTCAGTTTCCTCTTTTTTGCAGTTTTTGCTTTACTGGAAAATAAGTATCACCATCATATAACTTTTTTTTCTATGATTACAAGTAATTTTTTGTTGTTGTAAGATACTTTCTTTTTCAAGTTTTTCTAAATTTAATGATTTCATTGGTTTTTTATGAAATGATTTACGAATGACTTATTAAATAAAAATGTACCTGGGAAAAGACCAAAAGTAGATGGAAGTCCCTATTTTCTCTGAGTCTACTAGATGATCATCTACTAAGCTTTGGACAACTTCTTTGACAGATTGCATTGTTATACCTTTCTCCTTTGGTGCTATCTTCTCTAACTCCTGTTCAAAGAATGTAATCATAGAGAAACTAACATTATTCCACACGACGTGGAAGATAGAGTGTACAAATATTGTAAATAAAGTTCTAAAATCATTTATAAAAAATGATGACTCAATGTTTTTAATGGTGATAATATTTCTAATGTTCTCAGCTTGTAAATATTCATAACACATAGGTATTACAAATTTGGTTCACAATAGATCAGTCAATGGTCTCAGTGATGAGGAGATGCATAGGCCCTGAATGAAGCCACGCTAATCATAATAATAATAGGTATTACAAATAGATACACTCTGCATATTCTTTGAACTATACAAACTGTGATGTAAAAATACAATTTTCAACAAAGAATTTGGACACATTGACATGGGCAATATATTTATTGTAAATTTTTTGTGAATTGCTCAACCTTAAGTTGAAAAAAGTCCTTGCTATTATGGAATATCTCTAACATCCTCGTCTTCTTCTCATCCGCACTCAGTCCACGTTTTTTAGACATATTTCTTATTTTTCCAGTGACCCAGCAATGAAACAATTCCTCCTTCACCTGGACGAGACCCTCGCGCTTGGTAGGAAGTTTGTACTGCAGGACCTGGATGAAACACATCTATTTATATCAGCGGATATTGTGGAAACTCTACAGGCACGTGTTGATGATTTAATGGACCAACTGAGCATTCCGGTTCATGATAAAGGACTGTAGAATATTCTTTACTGTTGGACACTAACTTCTTGTACTGAGGACATATCAAGTTAAAATGGCGACTAGAGAATCCGGAAGAGTGAAAGAAGCAGAGAAGAGAAGAGTTCTAGATGATGCTGCGAGGAAACGACGGGCCCGAAAGGCCGTAGAAGCATTGGAACAGGACAATTTCCATGATGATCCCCATGCAGACCTGGTTATGTCCAAAAAAATTCCCAAATTTGCAGATTCCAATGAAAAGCAAACTAGAAAGAAAAAGTCTAAGAGTGCTGAGTATTATAAGATGAGGTTTAGGAAAACATTTGCCCAACTGGTTGAAGAGGATGCCAGTTTCAGACCAGATCCACCTAATTATTTGTCAGCACAGGCATCACCATCTAAGTAAGTAATATAACCTACCGTTTATCGACTACGCAACTTTTACTTAAGCCATGTACGGACAACGGCACGCCAGACTACCCATTTTTGTTCGAAATTCACCTCCAGTGCAACGGAACAAGATACGTCAATGTTTAGCTTGATGTGCTGGCGTGTGTAAATTAATACAAATGTTTTCTTTTTCTAGGTTTCCGGACCGTCATTTCTGTGCTGTATGTGGCTTTACATCCAATTACACCTGCATACCATGTGGAGCGCGATACTGCAGTGTCAAGTGCTTGGGAACACATTTGGACACTAGATGTTTAAAATGGACAGCCTAAATATTATTAATACGTGGTGTTTCAATGTTAACCTTACCAATAAAATATGTGCCTGATTGAAATTCTTTGTTTTTAACTTTTTTAATTAATTATGTAGTTTGCAAATTCTACACTAGAAAACTTGTTTTCTCCCGCCAAAACAAAATGGACCTACCTATAATACTAATAAATTAAGACGAGGCTTGGACTGTGTACAGTTAGCGAAGCTATATAAAACTTATATAGTACGGTTATAACTCTAATTGCTGTAGCAATTATTTAGCGACACCTTTTGTTAAATAGATACACTACTTTCTCATAACCGCCATACTGCCATCTATGGGGTAATAGCAAAGCTTCTTGTAACCATAGAAGCGAACATTATTTCAATTTGCTAAGCTTTGCCTTAGTTACTACAGATGACGCTGTAAACAATTACGACCTTCATTTCCCATCTATTATTCAATTCTTCAAAGATACGATTTGGATGCTTTCTGTTAATAACGACCAAGGCAGAGTGGAATATATTGAAATATTTTCCTTCACGTAAATTAAAACAAGAGGAGGGGAGCCCAAGACAGCTGCTTGCTATGGATTCTGGATTATCATATTACATATAACTCACATAATTTATCAGTATCCAATAACTCACGTTTTCTGTTTCCTACAATCACGTGTTATGTTCTCCGAAAAGACCGTTCAATGTTTATACAAACACACTCGTTTCCTTATCAAGAACAATCTCACAACTGGACGAACCCACACCTGGGAGAACAAACCCACGGTGGCGAGCGAGTCGATCGAGGACCCCGTCATGTTATGTCAGTAGTATACAAGGACCGATCTTAAACCAAAATTTTAGGTAAGTATACAAAGGCTCTAAGTGCAAAGCTTGTAATACAATATATTTGGGTAGGGGTGCACTCAACTATAATTTTATGCAAGTTTTTTTAATACCTATTGTTTCTGTTTCTGAATTTTCGGAGTCATTTCTATTTTACAAACGAATTTATATTGGCCTAAATTTAAATTTATTATTATTATTTTACTATTAAACATAAAGAAATTCTTCAATTCGTTGTTATTCACTTGAAATATTAAATTGATATCTATCTGAACTTTTAAGTAAACTTATATTGATTAGTTAAGTACGATAACGATATTGAGAGAGATGTGTTTTAAAAATATAGTATCATACATACAACACACTATGTACACACCCAGCAGATGAAGCTGCACATTCACGTATCTTGTTCCGTTGCAATGGAGGCGATTTTCGAAGAAATATGTGTGGACTGATGTGTCGTCGTCCGTACAAACCACTTAACATTATAATGTAAACTTTTCACCTAAAAATTTATTTTGAAGTAAATTTTTCATTGCAGTAGCGAACTTGATGAATGCCAAATTGTATGTAGAATAATGCACTAAGATGAAAAATAATATGGAATAATCATTGACTTACAAATAAATGGACGACGGGTCTAATACAAAAACCACGAAAAAAATGTCCTAAGTCAACCTATTCGAAATTTAAATTGTAATGTCATCGCAGTATCGCGCTGTCAGTCGAACAAATGAAGACTAAAGCGGAGTTTGGCGCTCTGTATACGATTTTAGCGCCTTACAAGTGCGGACACTTTTTAGCGCGGACCCGACGTCCATATAATTGTAAGTCAATGGGAATAATACTAGAATAGATCCAAAGATTCATCTTTACGAAATAATCATCTAATAAAATAACGTAGGTAACACACACATATTTAACAAACTCTATAAACATATCATTCGGTTTTTTGTAATGATTTGCTTACAATGCCTTTGGTCCACATGCAGAACATTGCTTTTTTCTTCCCTGTTTTGGCCCCACATTTTGCTAGCTAGGCGTCCGCTCCGTATTAAACCACACCCTCCAATTGAAGTACACTACTGTTAGATAACGAACCCCCCATTCCGACAGCTGGGTTTTGGCACACTTCCTTTATTTACTTAATGAAATTATTAATAATACCCCTTTCGTTACTTCAAAGTACACGTAATATTAACATAAAACAGTAGCTATTTACATTTTGCTTTTGTATGTGTAGGCAAGTAATACATATGATTCAAAAATTGCTTTTTTATAATACGATATCACGTGACGGGACGGACAAGTCGTGCGCCTGATGCGAAGCTACACACCTGTCCATAACAGTTGCAGTGGTACTCAGAGCTTTAAATGGCAAAGATCTGAGGGGCACTGCCTCTGCGCCCGTCATCCTGAGACATAAGCTGACAAGTCTCATGTGCCTGTAATTTTACCAGCGGCCTTATGATGTCCTGGGCATGTCCATGAATTTGTGGTTAGGTCACTTTGGACTTCTCTAAATGATTTATTGTTTTAAAAGGATTTCAAATTGTGGTATAAAAATTAAAAATACAACTTTAATTATGTACTTCTCCTCGTTTATTTTCATTATATAGATTATAGATTTTCTTCGGCATCAATGGAAACAATTCAATACAAGTGTTTAAGAAATTACGTATTTGTTTTGGTATTTTACAGTTTGATCAATGAGTTTGATTTAAAATATCTGTTATCGGTTTTAGGATAATTTGCAGGTTACTTTTCTGTACCTAATTTCGGTGGCAATTTTTATTATTGAACTATTGGAGTATAACGTGTAATATTGAATAATATTTTCAGGTTACTTCACTTGGATATTAAATAATACTCCTTGACAATATTTTTGGATATTTAAATAATACAGTTGCCACCAAAATTATGTACAGAAAACTAACCTGAAAATTACCGTAATACTACTAATTGAGATTGAATTAACAATAACATCTTTGAAAATAACAAGCATTCAGGGGGCCTACTATGAGCTCTTATAGCAATCCTGTTTAAGCCCGTAAGTTGGATAGCTTGTCAAATTCGTACTATGATCTCACAAAAACTAAAATATGCCTTATCAGAATTCGCACCCCTCGTTTTAAAATTATCGCTAAGGCTTCAAAAGACATATTGAAGTGTAAAATTAGTCTGACTGAATATTGACTTTGTATTCTGGAAATTAAAGTTTCGCAACATGGTGATACATTCTTGTTAGCCTTTACTTTGCTTACACGTTTGATCATTTCAAAATGAATGAACTTCAACTATGAGAAGTATCCGCCCATCAGGTCTGCTCCCTTCCGTTTTGAAATAATTTACAAATAATTATTATTAAACGAAGTGAATTTCCTTTTCTACTTTAAAATATCTACCTAAAACTAAACTACACAGGCATTTACAATTCCTTATTTACAAAAAATGCACAAGGTTTTTACTTACGCTACTGTGGCTTAAAATTACTGACTTGTTTCCATAAATAATTTTATTTTACTTTTATTAAAGCCAAAAATACATCTTTCATACACATTTTTTTTTTTCAGTTCTAATACTGGGTTTAGGAATGGTTAACATATTTTTTTTTTGTTGTGGCTATTGAGTTGAATATGACCAAAAAATATCTTTTACCTGTGACGTTAAAAAATAAATTGTAAAACTTTATAAGCTTACGTCACTTGCCTTAACCAATCAACAACGTGCTGAACTGTACACTTTTAACTTTAGACCACACCTACAGTTCAAGATCAAACCTTAAAGTGAAAAATAAGATGTGCCGTTGTCCATACTTCCAAAAGCCGTGATATTGTAAAATGCACAAAAAACCTTCAATCCATATCAAACTTTAATTTTTATTTTTGTAACATTCTTTACGACTTACGACAGCGCGCTCCAAGACTACTCGGTTTTTTACAGTACCACTTACAAGGTACATTATGCTGACATTATATAATATTTATCACTTTTCGAGACATAAAATAGTCATATAATAAATTTGTAAAAATTGACGATTTCTATAAAGTATAATATTATATCATTTATGTATAGGAAAGAAACGTTATTGTCATTTTTGTACTAATACAATGACTTTTGAACAGGCTTCATAGGACGGTATGTCAATGTCTAACACGATTAATCAATGCTCCTATAAAGCACCTTAAACTTATCACTTATTCAGGAACCAATGAGCATTGTAGAACGAATGCATTTTGTATATTCGCATCATCGTGGTGCAATTCCTAATACCCAATCACAAAGGACAAATTCTTAATGCCACTTAGGAATCGTCTTTCTTTTTCCGCAATTTTCCTTCTGTATGTATTGTATGCGTGACAGTTTCCACTGCTGCAGCCAAATCTGCATCAGGTTCGACTATAGATGACAAAGCGGCAATGTATGCACAGGCTATCCGTAAAACAGATAATTTTGAGAGTTTTTGGTTGTGGCTATATGCTGGTATAGCTCGCCTTAGCGTATCAAAGGCTGCGCTTATTGTATGCACTCTCGTTCTTTCTCTGGCATTTGCTTCTATTCTCCTTTCTCTGGTCATGTTTTTATAATTCCTCTGTTCTCTTGGTTTCGACTTTTCAGGGTACGGTTCGACAACGCCTGGGTGTGGAGGAACTCTGGGCGGTCCCGGTCTAGGTTCGAGAGCCGGTGGGGGTGGAACGGGAGGAGGAGGGGGTTCCGGCCTCCTTCGTTGTCTTAATAAGCTAGTCTCACTTGTTTTCTTAACTAAAGATAATGGTTCACTCTGAGGTTCGGCGAATGACCAGGGCCTGAACGGACTGACGGTGTCGCTTTCTGGGCTTTGGAGTTCTTCCCGTGAGTCGAGTCGTATTCTTTTTTTAGGTGGTTGGAGTCGGGTGGGGGTCCTTTCTCTCTTGCATCTGGAGTCGGACACGACAAGCCTGACGCCGGAGTCATCGGAATGAGCTGGCCCTGAACATGAGTCGTCATCTTCACCTCCTGAGACGAAACCCGCATCACGTTCCAGAATTCTTTCTGCAACAATAGAAAATAGATTTGTTAATCTTGTGCTCTTTTTTACAGCCGAGTATATATACGGGGAATGAATGACATATTTGACTTAAATATTATTCAGAAATATTGTCGGTCTTACACACACGCCTACTTAATTATTTATTTATTTAATTTACCAAACTTTACTATACTAAAGCAAGCAAATCTAGGATTTTCGATACTTTAGAGACTTCCTAACTAAAGTAATTTTAATAGTATAGTTAGAGTTATAGAGTATAGAGAGTTATTAATTTTACATATTATAATAATCTTTAAGTATAACAAGTTGTGTCTTTAGAGCAGGTTTCTACAGATATGCAGGATACTCGTATCTTGAGATTATTACGCGAGCGAGTCTTGGCGCCGGCGCCCGCGCAAGTGACGTCATCTATCGCTACAAACGTAGTATAAGATTTTGCGACATATCTAAAGACATTCATTTTACATATTAAGCACTAGCTAATACCACATTCACATATCGTTTTCGCAAAAATTCCAGTTCTCAAAAGAATGCTATTCGCTAAAAAAATTCTGCCTTAAAATTTCCAACTCTAAGTTAATTTCTTACAGCTTGATTTACAATTTAAAATTTCAGCAAAATTAAGACGTTCAATAAGCAATTATCAATCTTGCGCGTTTTATCTCTTCTGCAGCACAAGAATTTTGTGGTACTTGTGAGTTTGATTGGAAACAGGTTCGCTGTCTCCATATGGTCGATTCGGAGGATTACTTTCAACTCGGCACCGTCGAGTAGCGAATGCAACCAGAAAAAGTCTGTATAATATACAAAACATTTTACAACAAAAAAAACCTAGCTCATATCTTTTAAGTTGTACTTAACTTCATACTCAGAAAACAATGTTTTTCTCGCTAATAACAAGAGCATTGCGTTAAAGTTTTTAAGTAAAATCCTTTAATAAAATATACATAGCTCCTCTCTCCCTCTCTTTCTCTCTCTCTCATAACCTACATAGCACTATTTTCTTTTTTAATGGTAATAGAGTATAAAGAGGTTAAAGGCAAATACGTAAAATATGTTATCTATGCTGTTGGAATCGACGTGGAATCCAATAAGCAGATTTATGAGTGTAACAAAGAACTATTTAGTTACAACCCTGGTACATTATAATATTGAAAAATGCATGAAAAGTACATTATATTAAGTTGTATCACTAAGTTTATGGAAATTCACACTCTTGTTAGGTTATACCTTGCACGCCTCGATATACGACAGCAATAAAAACTCGAAAATAATAATAAAACCAGCCAAAGGTTAAGAAAAAGAAAGAAAAACGAGGTAATAATAATAATAAGTTCGTGATAATCCGGACATCAAGCGTACGCCGTCACCTTAGCATGCCATAGTCACGTAACGAGTTGCCAATTCAGGCCTTACTACCTCTATCATCACCCATCTGGGTTTACACCCAGCATTCCCCATAATAATAATATATCCTTTATCTCCCAACAAGTACAAAAGTCAAGAGCCTAACTCAGTGGTGGGTTTGCAGTCTTGGCCGCCCCAGGCCATGTAGTCAGTACCAGCCGCCCCTTTGTCAGCACCCGTCATATACTGGTAGACTACATAATGAATTTACTTTATTACCAACTTTTATCGAAATCGATTCAGAAATTTAGTTAACTATAATAGCTGCTAGTTCGTAATATTTTTACAGGTTTCAGATTTAAATTTAAAACGGTTTTAGGTTTTATTTATTTAACTATGGGTTCATTCATCAGTGATTATACATTACATTATAGATATGTAACATACCTATATTGTATACATAAAATGTACGAAAGTGATTTAGAAAGATTACTGTTATACGATGCGGTACAGTGCAGCCTGTCATAATATGCGTGAGTCTTTAGAATATTTAGGTACTTCGAGTTATTTCTTGTCATCATCAGTGAATTTTTTGCCACGATTGGCCGCCCCTAAAATCTCACCACGCTAGGCCCGGGTCTACTGGGCCTTAGAGCAAATCCTCCATTAGCTTAAATAACTTTAAATTTATTCGTCCCTTTATTTTATGAATCAGAAAGATATAGTCATATACAAATATAATTTAATTACATAAAAATCTTGAAGTTTCTAAACAGTGCGAATATGTTATGTATGTTAGCGTAACAGTTTTAGTGCAGTATAGCTCCCTGTGAAAGAGTTTGTCCAGAGCTGTACTGCCAACATATCTATTACTGCCACCAAGCAGTAATATGAGCATTACTGCTTTTCGGCTCTGAAGGATAAATCAACTTTATGTCTCAGGGCGACGGGTGTAATGGCAGTGCCCCTTAGATGTTTTCGATTTAAAGCTCTGAGTGGCACAGCAACTGTTATAGAAAGCGTGTCGCCTACCAGCAGGCGAATAACTAGTTCGTCCCGTCACAAATTGTCATAAAATACATCTTCACGCCATCAGACACTTGAAAAAAACATCTCAACGTGCAGGATCAGAACCTACCGAATTGAAACTAACCCAACGCAAACCTAGGCCCCGTTTGTTAACGTTATTTTAAATGAATAATAGTTCCCATTCTAGCCAACCTTATTGAAATTGGTTTTACCATATTCTTTTTATACAATTTTTTACTAGCCTGCTTAATATCCTAAGCAGATGTAAAAGATACATACCTACTAGCTACTGACTCAAATTACCCACTTGGAACTTTGGAACGTACTTTGTTTAGGTTTACGACTTTTATGAAGTACATAAAAGTAACTATAGAACTTCGTAACCATGTTATGACGTAAAAGTTGTGTTGTTCTAAAACTCTAGGTGTTACGTCAAATTACAAATTTGGTCTTTTGTAATAATAACTTAAGTAAATAAGTTTCATATCAAATAACTTTGGCTGTTACAGTTTATTCACATTCAAAGGCTCTAGACAACCACAGTAGTAAATAATTTTTCTAGTAAATAATTTTATCATTTTATTAATTTATCAAACTATACCACTAGGAAACATAAAATGACGTTAAAATATTTTATTAATATTGACCGTCACCGGAAATGAGGGTATTAATGAGATCGAATTTTAAATTAATTAAATGTAAATAAAAAACGTACCTAACGCCATTTGGGCACTTAGAACACATTTAATACCTTTTGACACTTAAAAATACAAAATAAATACTTAGGATTTTTTTTTTATAATATTTAGCGTAATATAAAATATTTTAAATAGGTTATTCAAGGTTAAAATTTATAATTAAATTTAACAAATTCGTTAGTCAGTGGGTACCTTTATTTGACTTTAGTACATATTATATTTGAATTATAAAAAATGCATATCTATTAAATTTGCAAGCCTCGACGGAAAGACGTTGCAATATTCGTCTCTATAGATGCTTCCGACTATAACACCCAATATCTTCATCTTACTCTACTAGCTTTTAAAATCCGAATTCTGTTAGCTCGAACCGTATACAGATAATCTTGTACAGTAACGACTGTGCTACCGGAATTAGTTTATGGCTCATAATCGAATGGCTTCGTTGTGTTGTGTAACGATCGATTTTCTTATCGATATTCTTCGGTGGATTCTCGTTAAATCTCTGGTAATATTAGAGCTGATAGAGTGAAAGTGAAAGATAAGTGAAACTGTGAATATATAGCATTGCCTTGTTTAATTTACCATCAACATTCGAAAGGAATTTCCATCCTGTACTTTAATTTGCAGTTTTATCGCTCCTATTTCTGCAATAATAATAAAATAATATAAATTTCACCAGCATAGTCATACTAGTTGTAATAAAGTTTCTTGGCCTCTGGTCCAATGGCTAGTAACGTGAGCGCAAGACGATGGAGTCCCGGATTGAAATCCTGGTCCTTACTAGTAAATATTATTAGTAATGTTATGGTATGATGTAACGGGCTGTCGTCCTTAACTCGACATACAAACGCCTATTCTGCGTGTAGTGTAGTGTAGTGGGTGCAGGATCCTCTACTCGTGCCACCCAAGCTCCTCCAAAAATCTCAGCACCCTTCTGGGTTTCTCGAAGACTTCGGGGAGCGACCTCGGCACTCCAAGGTATTTTTCCCCCTCCACGCATGTATAGTATTAGTAATAAAAAAATTATTTTACGTTACGTTAATTTACGTTATTATGGACCAATTCCCTAGGTTTGCCAGAAAAATGTGTGTGCGGGTATGTATGTCCTAGCCGATTTCAGCCACAGCGACTGCTATTGTTTAGAATTAGAGCTGCGGTTGTTTGCTCTTTCATGTGCCCTTAGATTTCTCCAGTAGCCAATCTTATTGGTAAATGTTCGTAAACAGTGGCGACACGTAAATACACCGTCAACATAGTAATAAAAGATGGCTGCAGGCGTCTTAGCGTTCGCGTTTGTCTCACGTTTCGCGTCCAGGTCTGACAGTCTCTGCTCCTCAAACTTTGTCACCTGAGTTTTCACAAAGTGCCTCCACCCAGAACGGCAACTCGACTGCATCTCCCACCTCGAGAGGTCAATGTTGCAACTTTTCATGTGTCTCTTCACAACATCCTTGTATCTCAAGAACTGGCCGCCTTGCCATTCTGGAGTTCAGAAAGTACATACGCTTCGCAACTCTCGATGCAGACATGCGCGAGACGTGTCCACAACAACGTAGCTGACGCCGCATTAAATATCCGTCAATGCCGAAGATATTCGCCCGCCGAAGCACGTCGGTGTTTCTTACCCGATCCGACCACTTGATGTTAAGAATGTCTCGCAGGCACTTAGAAACGTGCGTATTTGGCGGCGGTATAGGACCCATGTCTCGGAAGAATAGAGAAGGTTAGGGAGTACAATCGCTGAGTAGACGGATATCTTTGTGGACAACTTGAGATCGTGGGAACGCAGCACCTTGGATCGAAATTTTCCGAAAGCGGACGCTGCTAATGCAATACGGTGGTTTATTTCGGAATCAAGGTCGCTCATTGATGTGATAGTGCTGCCTAAATACTTAAACTTCTCCACCTGCTTCAGCTTCATCTCA